TTTATTCCTAAGAAATACTTAGGAATATGTTACGATATTATACTCTGATAAATGACATTATTTTCTAGATTCTTTTTTTGGATAGTTTGTTATTAGTGTATAGAAACACAATTGATTTTGTATGTTTGTTGTGTATCCTGCAGCTTTACTAAATTTGTTTATCAGTTCTAACAGTTTTTTGGCCAAGTCTTTATGGTTTTGTATGTCAGATTATGTTATCTTCAAACAGAGGGAATTTAACTTCTTCCTTTCAAATTTGTATTACTTTTATTTCTTTTCCTTGTCAAACCACCCTGGCTAGAACTTCCATTACTACGATAAATAGAAGTGGAGAGAGTGGGCATCCTTGTCTTATTTCTGATCTTAGAAGAAAAGCTTTCAATTTTTGAACATTCAGTATAATGTTAGCTGTGGGTTTTTGTTTTTTTTTAATAGTTGGTCTCTATTGTGGTGAGGTAAGTTTCTTCTGTATCTATTTTATTGAGAGATTTTTTAATAGTGAATGAATGTTAAATTTTGTCAAAAGTGTTTTCTACATTGACTGAGATGATCATAAGATTTTTGTCCCTTATTCTGTTAATGTGGTACACTACACTGATTGGTTTGTGTACATTCAAATATCCTTTCATTCAGGAATAAATCCCACCTGATCATGTTCCACAATCCTTTTAATGTGCTGTTGTTTTCAGTTTGCTAGTATTTTATTGAAGATTTTGGTGTCTGTGTTCATGAGAGATATTAGCTTGCAGTTTTCTTGTGGTGTCTTTGTCTGATTTTGGTACCAGGATAATGCTGACATCATGAGTGAATTTAGAAGCATTTCCCCTTTTTCTATTATTTGGAAGGGTTTAGAATGGATTAGCTCTAATTCTTTGAATATTTGGTAGAATTCACTTGTGAAACCATCTGGTCCTGGGCTTTTATTTTATGGAAGTTTTCTGATTACTAATTCAATCTCTGTATTTGTTACTGGTCTATTCAGACTTTCCATTTCTTCTTTATTCATTTGTTTATTTAAAATGTTTTTGTTTGTTTGTTTGTTTGTTTCGAGACAGAGTCTCACTCTGTCACCCAGGCTGGAATGCAATTGTGTGGTCTCAGCTCACCGCAACCTCTGCCTCCCAGATTCAAGCTATTTTCGTGCCTCAGCCTCTCCAGTAGGTGGGACTCCAGGCAAGTGCCACCACACCTGGCTAATTTTTGTATTTTTAGTAGAGATGAGGTTTCACTATGTTGGCCAGACTGGTCTCGAACTCCTGACCTTGTGATCTACCCACCTTGGCCTCCCAAAGTGCTGTGATTACAGGTGTGAGCCACCACATCCAGCCTCTTATTTTTTAATAAAGGCATTTATAAACCTCCCTCTTGGTACTGGTTTTACTACATCTCATAAGTTTTGGTATATTGTGTTTTCATTTGTCTTGAATTTTTAAAAAATTTATTTTTGTTTTCCTCTTTGACTCAATGGTTGCTCACAAGTATATTATTTAATTTCCATATCTTTGTGAATTTTTTCATTTTCTTACTGTTATGAATTTGTAGTTTCATTCCATTGTAGTCAGAAAAGCTACTTGGAATGATTTCAATCTTAAATTTGTTAAGACTTACTTCGTAATCTAACATTTGATCCATCATGGAGAATGTTCCTTGTGTGCTTGAGAAGAATATGTATATGTATGCTGTTGAGTAGAAAGTTCTATATGTTCGTCAGGTCTATTTGGCCTATAGTATTACTCAAGTCAGCAGTTTCTTTACTGATTCTGTCTGGTGTTCTATCCATTTAATGAGAAAGAGATATTGAAGTCTTCTACTATTATTGTATTGATGTCAATTTCTGCCTTCAGATCTGCCAATATTTGCATTTTATATTTAGGTGCTCTAATATTAAATGCATGTATATTTACAATATTTAGTTCTCCTGTTGAATTGGCTCTTTTATCTTTATATAATGATCTTATTTGTGACAGCTTTTGAGTTAAAGTCTATGTTGTCTGATATAAGTGTAACCACTTCTTTTTTTGGTTACCATTTGTATGGAATATCTTTTCTACTCCTTAACTTTCAGCCTGTGTCTGTCCTTAAAGCTAAAATGAGTCTCTCATAGAAAGCATATTACTAACTAGATCTTGTTCCTTTATCTATTGGACCCCTTTATGTCTTTTGATTGGGGAATTTAATTCATTTACCTTTAAAATAATTATTGACAGATGAGGACTTACTATGGATATATTGTTAATTATTTCTGTCACCTTTGCTATTGTGTTGTTCCTGCCTTCCTCTCTTATTGTCTTTTTTTGTTATTTGATGACTATCTGTAGTGATTCTTTGATTTTTGTCTCTCTCTCTCTCTTTCTCTCTCTCTCTCTCTCTCTCTCTCTATATATATATATATATATATATATACACACACACACACATACATATATTAGGGGTTTTTTGTGGCTACCATGAGACCTTGTATAAAGTATCTTGTAATTATGAATTTTTATCTTAAATTGGTAATTTAATTTGAATTGCATACAAAAGCTTTACATTTTTATTCCACACCCTTGGTGTTCTTAAAGTGAATGTGCTACTTTATATAATGTATACCCATTAGCAAATTTGTGTGGCCATAGTTAAAACTAACAGTTTTGTCTTGTAACTTTTAAGTTTGTGTTAAAAGTAATTTATGTTCCAGCATTAAATTGTTGCATTGTTCTATATATGTGTATATATTAACCTTTACTAGTGAGATTTATGCTTTCACATTGCTCCTTAGTATATATTTATTTCAATTTGAAGAACCCCCTTAGTATTTCTTGTAAGGCAGTTCTGATGGTGATGAAGTCCTTCTGTTTTTCTTTGTCTGGAAAAGACTTTCTCTCTTTTTCATTTTGAAAAAATAATTTTGCTGGGTATAGTACTCTTGATTAGCAGGATTTTTTTTTCTTTCAGTACTTTCAATATATATCTATCCTACTCTCTCCTGGTCTGCAAGGCTTATTTTGAGAAATCTGCTGATTTCTCAGAAGTTCCCACTTATGTCTATAAAACCTCTTCTTATTTTTATAGACTGCTTTCAGCAGGTAAAAACCTTCTCTTGTTTCATTCTCAGATTAATGGGACTGCCTCTTGGATCACAGTCAAGTGGGTCTAGAAGTGGGTCACATGCTATGGCCTGGTCTGCAGTTGGTTCCTGCCATGTCCTTTTTCTCTTGCTGCTTTCAAAATTCTCTATTTTTGACTTATGACAATTTATAAAGCGATGTATTTCAGCATAGGCCTTTTTATGTTCAACGTATATGGAATTTATAATTTATTGAATCTGGATGTTTATTTTCTTCTCCAGATTTGGGGAGTTTTCAGTCATTTATTCTTTAAATAAGCTTTTTGCTCCTTTCTCTTGCACTTTTCCTTTTGAGGCTTACATAACATACAAGCAGACTAGCTTAAAGGTGCCTCATAAATTCTGTAGCCTTTCTCATTCTTTTTTCATTTCTTTTTTTTTTTTTTCTGTTTTCTGCTGTGACTGGATAATTTCAAATGACTTGCCTCTGAGGCCACAGATTATTTCTTCTGCTTGATCTAATCTGCTGTTGAAGCTCTCTATTGCATGTTTTATTTTATTTGTTGTATTCTTCAGCTCCAGAATTTCTTTCATTCTTTTTTATGATTTTTATGTCTTTGTTAAACCTCTCGTTTTGTTCATGTACTGTTTTCCTGAGATATTGATTTAGCTGTCTGTTGAACTTGTAGTTCACTGTGCTTCTGTAAGACAATTATTTTCAATTTTTTCTCAAGAAATTCATAGATCTATACTTTTTGGTGCTTGGTTACTGAAGCTTTATTAATTTCCTTCAGTGGTGTCATGTCTGCCTGGCTCTTCATGTTTCACATAGCTTTGTATTGATATCTGATCCCTTGAAGGAGCAAACACCACTTCTTGTTTTCACAGACTGCTTTCAGCAGGTAAAGACCTTCTCCTGCCTCCTTCTCAGACTGGTGGAGCTGCCTTTTGAGTCACAGTCAAGTGGGGCTAGAACTAGGTCACATGGCTGTGGCCTGGTCTACAGTTAGTTCCATCACTGGCAGTCCTGTTACCAGGGGTGTAGACAAGCATGGTTCCTTGTAGATCCCCAGATGGATGGAACCACCTCCAGAACCACAGTTGAACAGGGCTAGAGCCTGGTCATGGGGCTGCTTCTGTTTCTGCAGTTGAGTCTGCAGAGAGTGGGTCTGCTATCAGAGAATACTTGCTAAGCATATGGCTCCAACAGTTCCACTTGTCTTTGACAAAACATTCTTCTATCAGGGCCCTTGTTAGGTCTCTAAGCAGGAAGGACTTCCCTTAGTACCATGGTAGAGCAGTGCTGGAGTCAGCTCACAGGACTGCAGCAAGGTTCACAGTCAGGCTCAAGGTCAGTGGGCCTACCATGAGGGGTATGTATGCCACCAATTCTGTGAGCAGGCAAGATTACTCTGGGACCATGACAGAAGGAGGCTGGAACTGAGTCTCCAGGCTGCTTCAGGGTCGTTAGCCAGGACTGACTTAGGGTCCACAGCAGGGACTGAGGCAGCAGGACTGCTCCCAGGGACATGGACAGACATTAATTGGTCTTTGAGTGGGCAAGACTGAGAGCAGGGCAGGAGCCATGGGTCACATGGACTCTGTAAGAGCCATAGAAGGGACCAAGGTTGGTAGATCTATAACCTGGGGCATGGACAATGTGTGTTTCACATGATCCCTCTGAAAGCAGCACTGACTCCAGACTGGGGGTAGAGCAGGGTTGAAGCCAAGTCACAGGGCCATTTGAGGATGCACAGTCAGATCTGTGGCCAGTAGTCCTGTTACCAGAGGCACCAATTGGTGTGGATCCTCCCACGTCTCTTGTTGGATAGGGCTAGTTGCAAAACTGCAGCCAAGCAGGGCTAGAGCCACATCCACAGAGGGAGGGGGCTGCTTTGGGTCTGTAGCTAGAACTGTGCTCGGTGAGCCTGTCCCTGGGACATGTGCTTGCCTTCTCAGAGCAGCTCTCCTCCATCTTCGGCTTCACCAGGGTTTTATGACCTCTTTCCTGGATCCCAAAGCTCCCACAAAGGCACTTTTGTTCATGCACAGCTGCCAGACCATTGTTTGCGTCAGAGAACATGAGCTGGAGACTCCTTATTCTGCATCTGCTGGCAACTGCAGCCGTTTAGATTTGGCCATTAGAAACCAAAAGTTCTGCATAGCCAACGTATTCCCACAACTCCACACAAGTCAGAACCCATATCTGGAAATAAAGGTGGCATTCTTCAAAATAATATTTCAATAAAACCTGTTCTCTGTCTTTTAAGTGACAATTACTATAATCAAATTATTATCTGACTTATAAACTTCTTTTGCCTATTTTGAATCCAGTTATTGTCAAGGCTCCTGGAGTTTACTGGCTACATGTCTTCTGATACTTTTCTCTTCTATCTTTCCCTACTGCCAGCACTCTAGTTCAAGTGCCTATGTTTTTTTCTCAGCAAACCTGTCTCTTAACTGCCTAAACTAATTTCCGTAAATAAAATAAACTCTTTATTCCCTCCAGTTCACTGTCTACTCCACTGCCACAGTGATTCGTGTTAATGCAAAAGTAATCATGTCACTCCTAAACTCCAATTAAAGCCCTTTAGTAATACCTCACTTCTCCTAAGAAAAGTTTCCCAATCCTAGAGTGGCACATAGCACACAGCCACATAGCACTGTCCGAACAGTAGCCTCTACTGTATAAGCCTCCTGTGATTACTGAGCACTTGAAATGTGGCTTATCCAAATGAAGGTGTTCTGGGAATGTAAATGCATCACAGACTTTGAAGACTTAAGACATAAAAATTAATGTAAATTATCTCATTAATAATTTTGTAGAGATTGCATGTTGAAATAAAAATGTAATTGGTTAAACACAGTATATTATTAAAATTACTTTTGCTTATTTCTTTTTACCTTTATAATATAGACCTAAACCCGTATACAGTGAAGCAAACAAGTAGTTTCTTTCCCTGTGGAGCTTACAATCTCATGGAAGAAATTGGGGATAAGCAATATATTTCAGATAGAGAATGCAACATAGCGACACATGCTAAGGAGAAGAAGAATATGAGGTGTCAAGACAGGTGGTTGCATTTTAGGTATCAATTTTAGGTAAGGCATCATTGAGTAGATGATTTTTGAGTCCTAAAGAAAGATCATTATAGGAAAATTGTTATAGAGGAAAGAAAAGCTGTTATAGGCAGAGGAAAAAGTAAGGGCAAAATCTATAAGGGCAGGAGCAAACCTTGTTTACTGAAGAAAGTGCAAAGAGGTCAATGTGACTTAAACTCAGTGAACAAGGGGATAAGGGTAGAAATGGAGGTCGGGCAATGGCATGTACCAAATCATTTAGACTCTTAAGGGCTGTGCTAAAGGCTTTAGCTGGGTGTGTCAGAAAACCACCAGAGACCATAAATACCATACTTATGCAAACTCAGACATTTTTTCAAATTCTCATTCTTGCCAAGTTTTGAAAAAATACCTGAAAACAAGAAAAGAAAATTTTATCTCCAGCCAAACCCCTTCCCTGACTCTTTATCACACACACACGTACACACGTGTAGATATACACCTGTGTGTGTGTGTTTATACACACAGACACGTACACACACATACGTATTAAATCGCTTTAATTACTTGCTTGAGATCTTCCCTTGGTTGTCTAAAAGCTCTTTCCAACTTTGCATATCCACGATTAATTATTGATATGCCACCCCTCATGACCTGTTTCTTATTCAGGATTCCTTTTCTTACTAAATTGCATTTATGTAAAATCATTCAGCACCTAAATAAGAATAGCTTTTAGTTTCAGCTCTGATATATAGAAAGAGTAGAAGTCATTACTCCTATCTTGCAATAACAAAAAGCTGAACAAACTGAAAATCCATGACTTTAGTTGGACCTATTAGAGACTCAGGTAGCAGGGCAAATAGCTGCCCCGAAATCTAGAGAGACAAGTACATCCAGAGACTCATAGCTAAGATCTGCTTACCTGGAGCAGAAGTTGCTGGAGGCATAAACATATAGCCATAGGTTCCACATGGTGGTTATAGTTAGATTGAGAATTTCATTTGTCAGCAGCACCTGGCGATGTGGAAGGCTTTTTTAAGAAATGAAACCCAGAATTAAAACATTTTACACAAGCCATGAAACCAAAAAAAAAAGTGTGGCTACATAAAAATGAAATGTTAAAAGATAACAGGAGGCCGGGCGCGGTGGCTCATGCCTGTAACCCCAGCACTTTGGGAGGACAAAGCAGGTGGATCACGAGGTCAAGAGATTGAGATCATCCTGGCTAACACGGTGAAACTCTTTCCCTACTAAAAACACAAAAAATTAGCCAGGCGTAGTGGCAGGCGCCTGTAGTCCCAGCTACTAAGGAGGCTGAGGTGGGAGAATCACTTCAACCCGGGAGGTGGAGGTTGCAGTGATCCGAGATCGCACCACTGTACTTCAGTCTGGCACAGAGCGAGACTCCATCTCCAAAAAAAAAAAAAAGATAACAAGAAAACTGGAAGGAAATGGCTGCAATAAGGGTAACCTAAGGTCAATATACATAATATTAGGTTGGTGCAAAAGCGATTGCGGTTTTTGCCATTATTTTTAATGGCAAAACCGCAACCAATTTTCTACCAGCCTAATACATAAACAGCACCTACAAATAATCTTTTAAAAGACAACTCAGTATATTGAAGGGTAAGCAGGCACTTTGAAAAATATATATTTCAGAAGGAGTCTAATAGATTGACAATTTTTTTTTTTTTTTTTTTTTTTTT